GAGGCCCCTGGGACCTGGCCTTTCTTTACTGTCACCATCTCACCGGAATGTGTGTGCCCTAAGGTGGCGGGGACATGTTGTGCCTCCCCGTCCAGCAACAGCTCACCCAGGGAAGATCTGTGGGGCTGGACATGCTGAGTCCTTCACCAGGCTGGGAGTAGTCCCACAGGAGTGTGGGACTGTGTTTGGGGGTGAAAATCCAGAGCAGGTTGGAGGGTGCCCTCTGAGGATCTGCCCTCTAACCCCTTCTGGAGTCCACCAAGCTTCTGGTTGCTCAGTAGCGCCCCCTGGGTCCTGGGTCTCCCTGAGTCTCAGCACAGGTGAGACAGGAGCCTGCTGTCTCCTTTAGGGGCCAGCATCTGTGAAGCCATCATTTCGAAGAGAAGTCCCCTGGGGACCTGCAGGCATATGAAATAGGGTCAAATGCATTTGTTTGTTTTATCCGAGACGTGGTCTCATGTAGGTCAAGCTGCTTTAAATTAGCCGTATAGGGAAGGCTGATTCTCCTGCCTGCACCACTGCTTGCTGGGAGAACAGGGGTGCACCACGACACATGCCCAGGCCCGGCTTCTCACCAGGACCCCAGCGTCCGAGATGAACCCAGAAGTTCAGGAGGAGTGCCAGCCATTGGCTGACTCAGCGGTGTTGACCGTAGAGCAAGGCCGGCCTGCCTCTGCCCACTGTGCTGGTGACCCATTCTCCATCTGCCCCAGGATAGGTGGCATGCACTCCCTCAGCTCCTCAAGTGAGGAAACTGAGGCACAGGTAGCTGAGGTCCTACCACTGAGAAGTGGCAGCGCTGTGATTTGAGCCTAGTCTTCAGTCCTCCATGGCCTGGGGGCCAGTGTGCTGCAAAGCCAGGGTGGGGCCCTGAACCCCCACTGAAGGAGGGACCAGGGGCAGCAGGCTTGAGGAAGCGCGGCCAGAGGAGGCTGGGCTGGAGGAGGGGCGGGGTGGGGAGGGATGTGGGGGACAACACAGCACCTCACCGCTAAGCCCACTTCTTTGTACTGCATGGCATCCTAACAGAGGCTTGTCTGCCTTGCCCATTTATTTGTTGTTGTTGTTTCTAGACAGGGTTTCTCTGTGTAGCCATGGCTGTCCTGGAACTCTCTTTGTAGATCACGCTGGCCTCAAACTCAGAGATCCACCTGCCTCTGCCCCCCAGTGCGCCACCACTGCCTGGCTTGCTCTGACCAGGGAGAAGAGAGCTGGGAGCCACTGGGCATGTGTGGAACTTGAGGCTGCCCTGACTGACCCAGGAGTCTGAGGACATTGCAGTGGTGGGCTGGACACCTGGGAGCAGGGACAGAGGAGGACCCAGCCAGCCCAGAGTGCCTTGAGTGCTGTATGGCCTAGGCCTGCTGCTTCACCTCTCTGCCTGATTGCACACACCCACACCCCATGCTCTCATCTGGCTTTCTCCTCTTCTCCTGGGGAGGCGGGGCTCAGAAGGGACCTGAAGAGAGGAGGGGACTTTATCTGTAGCCAGGGTTGGACCCAATTCCACCATTCACCACCTTCGTATATGCCTCGTGCCTCAGTTTCTCCGTCTTTACATGTAGATGAGGTACATGTAAAGCATGTAGACCGGTACCTAGCCCAGAGTGGACACTCAGTGAATATGAGCTGGTGACCGCCAGGATTGATGTCACCACTTTTACAGCAGTGGCTGGGGCTCCAGCTCAGCTGAGAGCGCCTGTCGGCATGCAGAAGTCCTGTTCAGTATACACTGGGCATGGTAGCCCAGTGACCCTGTCACTGGGGAGGTGGAGGCAGGGGCATCAAAAACTCAAGATCATCATCTACTATATAGTGAATGTGAGGCAGCCTGGGCTATATAAGGCATGTGAGGCAGCCTGGGCTATGTAAGGCCTGCCAGCAGCAACAATAATACGTGCTATATAATAAAGAAAGTGGACTTGGAGCAGGACTCTGGGCTCCCAATCCTAGGTGCTCTTTCCCTTCAGGGAATGCTAATTAGGGTTCCCAAGAGACAGACCAGCAGCCAGAAGGAGACGGGGAGAAGGAGGCTTCTGTGAGGCTGAGAGAGAGGAAAGTGGGGAGCTGCTGGTCCATCTCTCAACCCCAGCATCAGGGGACTGGGGAAGCAGGGGTTCCCATGTCGCTGGGCAGGAGTGCCCCCAGCGGTATTATCTTTCCTCTGCCCCCCCACCCCTGGATGTAGATGCCCGTGCACCCTGGGGGGAAGGCTCCTTTCCCTGTGTCCATCCCTCTACTCCACTCTCCACTCTGCCCAGGGATGCACGCCAGTCGGATGTACCCCTTCAGTCCCGCCAAGTGGGCGTTGGCCCCTAGAGTCTCCCACCTGCTTGGTCCTAGCTCCACCCCCCAAGCCAGTGGGTACAGACACAGGACGGACAGCAAACCCGTGCTTACTGGCTGTTGCCGTGACCCTCATGGCCTGAAGCAGTGTTAGCTGCTGGGCAGCTGGTCACCTTGGAATGACTGTTCCCCGGCACCCTGTCATACTTTCCCAGGCCCCCAACAGACTCCTCACAGTGACACCCCTGAGCCTGTGGCTTGGTGATTGCCACCTGTTGATATTGATGATGACCGGCTATAGGGAACCGGATGTGGTGGCCTTTGCCTCGCCTGGGAGCCTGCTGGGTGTGCCACAGGAAGTGCCAGATGCCAGTCACACCCACTTCCTGACCCCTGTAACAGCCCCATCATTAAGAAGAACGTGGCCTTTTGTAGGAGGGGAACCTCCTCCTGCCTGCGAGAGAGAGTGTGTGTGTGTGTGTGTAGCACTGGGGGCTCATTTGACACCCCTCTTCCACCATCTAACCTGCCTCCCTTCTAAGCACATCCCATGTGGGTACAACCCGGAGTAGCTGGAACGTAGATGGCTGGGCTGGGCTGGATAACTCAACTAATTCTCTCTCTCTTTCTCTCTCTCTCTCTCTCTCTCTCTCTCTCTCTCTCTCTCTCTCTCTCTCTCATAAATTAAGACTTTTTATTTATTTATTTTTTTAAATATTTATTTATTTATTATGTATACAATAGTCTGTCTGTGTGTATGCCTGCAGGCCAGAAGAGGGCACCAGACCTCATTACAGATGGTTGTGAGCCACCATGTGGTTGCTGGGAATTGAACTCAGGACCTTTGGAAGAGCAGGCAGTGCTCTTAACCGCTGAGCCATCTCTCCAGCCCCAAGACTTTTTATTTTTAATCATGCGTATATTTGTGTGTGGGTCTGGTGCCTGGACTTACAGGAGGATATGAGTCACCTGGCGTGGGTGCTGGGACCCAAACTCCGGTCCCCTGGAAGAGCAGCAAGCATTCCTAGCCTCTGGGTCGTCTCTCCAGTCCCACATCTAATTCTGAAGTCAGATCATTTTCCAGCAAGGCCTAGAGGGACCACATAACTGCCCAGAGTCAGAGCAAGTTGGTACTGGACCTTTCCTGTGCCACACACTACCTCAGCTGGGAGCCCAGGAGAGTCATGCAAGCCCTGCTGTCTGAGCCTTGGGGCTCTCGGCCTGACACTCCAGGTCCTAGCCAGACTGTCCCTGCTGATGCTGGGAGGACACCCTCAGCCAAGCTCTGTGGTCTTTCTAAAATAGTCCTTTTTATATAAAATAGTCCCGTGTGTGTGTGTGTGTGTGTGTGTGTGTGTTTGTGTGTGTGTGTGTGTGTGTTTTCCAGCCAGGCCGCTCTGTGTGGTGTCACGTCACTTGGCCTGTGTGGCTTGGGATGGGTGCAGGCTGCAAGTCTGCTCTGTCATTCCCTTAGCCAGTATCCCAGCAGCATGGACTTGGGTCACCCCCAGCCTTTGTTGCCCCGCCCTGTTGCACTGAACCAGCTTGTGGGTGATTGGCTTGTGCTCTGAATGGGAATTCCTAGCCAACACGTGGCGGGGGAGAATCCATCCTGTGAGACCAGGCCATGACAGTACCGCCCCATCCCCTGTCACAGAGGCCAAGAGGCTTGTGGCAATTCTGATCTTCAGTCCCAGGTGGCACAAGGAGGCCATACTGGATCATCACAGGAATGGGGCACCAGGCCCAGAAGGAGAGAAACGGGGCTGGGGGAGGGGCATCTCACCCAGGATCCTCACGTGTTGGTGCCACTTGCCTTGAGCCTGAGGGACAGTGGCCTCTCCCAGGTGGAGCTGAAGCTTGCAGAGCTGGTCAACCCTCACCCAGAGACCTCACGGGTCAGGGTTCAAGCCCATAGCTGCATCGCACAGACAAGGAAATGCCCAGGAGCCGTGGCTGCCTCTTTGAAGGCTAAGCCCTTGGCTCTCTGTGGCTTGTTTCCTGATCATTGAACAATTCTCAGCTGAGTGACAGCGAGGCCCGGGAGGGGAGGGGTGTGCCCCCTGGCCCCCGGGGCAGAGCCTGGCCTAGATTGGGCAGCTGTGATGCTGATGACAGATCCGGGACAGACACAGGCCCGGGATATTGTGTAGATCACAGTGTGACCCCAGGGCCAGAGAACCACGTGATCAGCTGTGTGCGGGAGACTGCAGACAGCTAATGGGGCTGTCAAGGCAGGACTTGGACAGCCAAAAGAAGATGGGCAGGGTCCAACTGGAAAAATTGGGGGAACCCTTAGCTCGGGATATAAGTGGGAGAAAGATCTCCTGTCATGACAGAAGCTGGGACTCCAGGGGACAAGACCAGAGGCTCTGTGTTGGGTCCAGCTGGGTCAGGTGGTGCTGAGGAGAGTGGGGCACCAGCTAGGAACCCAACTGGCGCTCCCTGGTATGCGAGGAAGGCTTGTATAAGCTAAAAGGGAGGGCTTCCTCAGGGAGATAGATGGCTTTTGAGGAGAGGCTGTCAGCAGAATCCTGGGAGGCAGAAGGAGCAGGCGTGGAGACCACGCACCAGAAACTACAGACTGAATCCTGGGGTTATCCTCGGCATGGGAAGCCCTTCCAGGAGGCCGCCATCCAAGTTTGAGGCTCATCTCTGGGCCCGGACTAGGACATGAACCACTTCCCTCATCTCTGTGGCCCTCTCCCTTGCAGCTTGTGAGCGGGAAGCCCCTGACTGCCCATCCGCACCTGCCCGGCTCCCTCTGGCTACGCCATGTCTGGCTCCTACGATGAAGCCTCGGACGAGGTCACAGACAGCTTCTGGGAGGTGAGCAGAGGTCTAGGCTCTTGTCTGTACCCCGACTCAACCTGTGACCTCAGCCTTGCTCCCCAATTCCTTGGGCCTCTTCAGAATTCCCAGTGTCCAACAGGCAGCTAAGGCCTTGAAAGTAGGGTAAGAGTCATGGCCTGCTGTTGCTCCCTGGACGCTGCCTGTAGCAGCTCACACTCTGGGACCAGGCCCCTCCCTAGTGGACAATGCCCAGCCCTTCCCACCAGCGTCTGCTGTACTTCACAGTTCTCATAGCCTACCTAGCTGTTCCCACTCTACCCTCTGCATGGTGGGCAGAGGGTGGACTTCTGAACCGGAGAGCTGGGACTCAACAACCTCACAGAGGTAGAGGCGAGACTATAAGCCAGCATTTCAGGAGCTTCTGAGAGTATTTGAGCCTTGGAGGAAAAAAAAATATGTATATATTGCTTTTGGCTTTGGAACCAAAAAGCAAACTGGCGGGCCTAGATTAATAAGTGCTTAATGAGATGTCCACAAAACATAATATTGTGTCAAGAAACAGTAGCTCCGCTTGCGCTTATATGACTCGTATAAATATAATAGATTTAGCTCACAAGAGCAAAATGAATAATTCATTCTAGCCCAAGTCCAAATTATATAAAACCCCTTCTGCTTTTTATGGCAGTGAGGAGGTTTTGGAGAAGGTGGGTAGGTGGAGACCGTGGGGTCTGACGTGGAGTTCCGGGACTCCGCGAGGTGGATGGCAGGAGGCGCCGCGCCCCCTGCAGGCCAGGGCCAGGATCACAGGGGCTCCCGGTCACTAGCTGCTCTGCCGCCAGGTGGGGAACTACAAGCGGACGGTGAAACGCATTGACGATGGCCACCGCCTGTGCAACGACCTCATGAGCTGCGTGCAGGAGCGCGCCAAGATCGAGAAAGCCTATGCGCAGCAGCTCACCGACTGGGCCAAGCGCTGGCGCCAGCTCATCGAGAAAGGTGCCCCACCCCCGGGCTCTAGCGGGTGCCCCAGGGAGGGACCCCAGTGCACCAGCCTCCCAGCCACAGGGCTTTTCACAATCAGGGTGCCCCTTTATTCTCCTGCTTTGTACAACTCGAGAGTGAACACACACACACACACAATCATCAGTTTTTCTTTTGAAAGAAACTTCCCAAAAAGTCACATTTATAGTGCAGAGAAGCCCTGGCTACCCTGAGCCAGCTTCACCGCTAACAATAACATTTCACTGTAGCTTTCTGTTTTGAGACAGAATCTTTTTTTAAAAATATTTATTTATTTACTTATTATGTATACAATATTCTGTCTGTGTGTATGCCTGAAGGCCAGAATAGGGCACCAGACCTCATTACAGATGGTTGTGAGCCACCATGTGGTTGCCAGGAATTGAACTCAGGACCTTTGGAAGAGCAGGCAATGCTCTTAACCGCTGAGCCATCTCTCCAGCCCTTGAGACAGAATCTTATGTAGCCCAGGCTGCCCTCCAACCCTCTGTGTGGCTGAGAATGACCCTGAAATCCTGATGTTTCTTCCTCCCCTTCCTAAATTGAAGATTCCAGGTGTAGCTGGCCATGCCTAGCTTCTNCCCCCCCCCCCACCTCTCTCTTGTTTCTTTAGACAGACTGTAACCCTCACACCTAGAACTCCCTCTGCAGCCCAGGCTGGCCATAAACTTGAGATCTGCCCCAGGCGTTTCCTCGTTAGCATGCACGTTTTTTTCTGAACTGTTTTTGGGAAGTTAGCATTAGCACCCTGACCCCCATTCCCAAACTCTCCAAATATCGAAGAACGCCAGTTGCTCGGGCCACCATCCTTCAGCTGTCATAATCAGGGAGTTTATAAAGCTCAGAAAGGCACAGGCCTTTAATCCCAGCACTCGGGAAGCAGAGGCGGGTGGGTCTCTGTGAGTTCGAGCCCAGCCTGGTCTACAGAGTGAGTTCCAGGACTGTACAGAGAAACCCTGTCTCAAAAGTCAACAACTTAGAAAATAAAAAAAGAGGATGGATAAAAGTTTGAGGACAGTGTGGGAAGGGGTTTCTGTTGCCCCTGGAACTGGGGAAGCATTAGAGGACCGTGGGCATTGTGTGCTGGGGTCCCTTAGCTCCTTGACTTTCCCCCAGGTCCGCAGTATGGCAGTCTGGAGCGGGCCTGGGGCGCCATGATGACAGAGGCAGATAAGGTGAGCGAGCTGCACCAGGAGGTGAAGAACAGCCTGCTGAACGAGGACCTGGAGAAGGTCAAGAACTGGCAGAAGGACGCCTACCACAAGCAGATCATGGGTGGCTTCAAGGAGACCAAGGAGGCAGAGGATGGCTTCCGCAAGGCCCAGAAGCCCTGGGCCAAGAAGATGAAGGAGGTGCGTCAGACAGGCGGGATGGGGGGCCAGCTCAGGGGTGGCATGTCACAGGAGGGCATCTGTGGAAAGGGAGGGCACTCACAGGACAACAACATCTGCAGAAAGAACTGTCCACAAGGGGTCTCTAGTACCCAGTGTGCTTCCCCCAGCACACAGCCAGAAGGCTCCACAGATCCCATGATAGACATGTCTGCAGAGACTGTGAGCCGTGTTGTGTGGGGCAGCTCCTGCAGATGAGGGCATCGGGTAAAGCCTTGTAGCCAGAGCCAGCAGCTGCTTGCCTCTTAAAAGGGCTACTCCACAGTGTCGGGGGATGGGCAGTCAGGTATTGGTGAGGGGTGACCATGTGCACACCCACCTTGGCCTTCTCCCCACAGCTGGAGGCAGCCAAGAAGGCCTATCATCTGGCTTGCAAAGAGGAGAAGCTGGCCATGACTCGGGAGATGAACAGTAAGACGGAGCAGTCGGTCACCCCTGAGCAGCAGAAGAAACTTCTGGACAAAGTGGACAAGTGCAGGCAGGACGTGCAGAAGGTACCTGTGGGGAGGACATGCAGAAGGTCCCTGTGGGGAGGACGTGCAGAAGGTCCCTGTGGGGAGGACGTGCAGAAGGTCCCTGTGGGGAGGACGTGCAGAAGGTCCCTGTGGGGAGGACGTGCAGAAGGTCCCTGTGGGGAGGACGTGCAGAAGGTCCCTGTGGGGAGGACGTGCAGAAGGTCCCTGTGGGGAGGACGTGCAGAAGGTCCCTGTGGGGAGGACGTGCAGAAGGTCCCTGTGGGGAGGACGTGCAGAAGGTCCCTGTGGGGAGGACGTGCAGAAGGTCCCTGTGGGGAGGACGTGCAGAAGGTCCCTGTGGGGAGGACGTGCAGAAGGTCCCTGTGGGGAGGACGTGCAGAAGGTCCCTGTGGGGAGGACGTGCAGAAGGTCCCTGTGGGGAGGACGTGCAGAAGGTCCCTGTGGGGAGGACGTGCAGAAGGTCCCTGTGGGGAGGACGTGCAGAAGGTCCCTGTGGGGAGGACGTGCAGAAGGTCCCTGTGGGGAGGACGTGCAGAAGGTCCCTGTGGGGAGGACGTGCAGAAGGTCCCTGTGGGGAGGACGTGCAGAAGGTCCCTGTGGGGAGGACGTGCAGAAGGTCCCTGTGGGGAGGACGTGCAGAAGGTCCCTGTGGGGAGGACGTGCAGAAGGTCCCTGTGGGGAGGACGTGCAGAAGGTCCCTGTGGGGAGGACGTGCAGAAGGTCCCTGTGGGGAGGACGTGCAGAAGGTCCCTGTGGGGAGGACGTGCAGAAGGTCCCTGTGGGGAGGACGTGCAGAAGGTCCCTGTGGGGAGGACGTGCAGAAGGT